ATATCAAATTCATAACAGCACTTTAAAAAAAATATTTTATGAAATATCTTTAAAATAACAAAAAACTACTAATGCAAGTTTAATAATTCTTCTGCAGCTCATGTTCTTGAAGCTAAAAATAATTTAAAAAATGCATCCACACAACAAATATCCTTTTGATGATCAAGTATTTATTGTGTTCATTTTAAACAGTCTGAAAATATAATTTTATGAGATTAAGCCAACATTCTATCAAAGCCAGGTCGGGACATGTTTTTATAATGAAACAAGGAAATAATGAAACATTCTGAGGGTCACTATGTACAGAGTACAGATAATATAGAAAATTAAATGGCAATGACGTTTACATCACTTTGAATTTTAACATCATATGGCATCTGATGAGACGTAAAATCTGAATATTTTCTTTAAATGACCAGCGAGGCTCCTCATCTTTAACAGAGACTCAGATTTTAAACTTGATACCTGATTTAAAAAAAGAAACTAATACAGAAGAAGTAGAAAGAAAATCTTTCATCACATGAAAGCACCCAAAATGTATCATTTTTGGGGTTTACTTATTTTTAAAAATGCATCGATTTTTGTCCTGAAAAATCTTAAAATCTAACATAAAATGATTCCTCACAGATTTGCCCCAAACAGACGAATCTAGTCTCAACCAGCAGTGGATCCTATAACCACCTGAAAAAGAAATAAATACAGAAATGTGCACAACTTCACTTTCTAGGCAAAAAAATATATATAACAATAATGTAATTCTCTCCGAATGCCTACAGGGAAATTTACAGAAGATTGTGCACATCCTGGTTATTTTATTTATTGTCAAGTTGTTCACCAGAGGCMGTTCAGCATTGAAACTGCATCTTATTAAAAGGATAGTGAAGAGTTTTGATAAGCCTGTTGGAGGACAGAGAGCTTTAATGTGTAAACAGATCTGCTCATCAAAGATTCATCACCCAGAGGCCTGAACTGGAAGCAGGAAACAAATGTAAACCAAAAACCTGAGGTCTTTTCTTGTGTTCTGCAGTATGAAGGGCTTGAACGACATGACTGGTGTAAGATGTAGCTGGCTGTTAAAATCCTGAACATCCATTACGTCTAATATCACACAACATCCTCGATGCCAGTCATCGTGAAAAATATATAATTTCATACAGCTACATAATATTATAATTATTTTAAAACAGGATTTTCACCAATGATCCAAATCCTCAGAAAAATGATCATAGACTTAAAGATTTGAAAGAAACTTGACATTAAATGGAAATCAGGATGGGTAAAAAGCTGACAGAGGTGGGAAGTTTGATGTGAAATAGTACGCTCTGAGCAATTAGCGCCTTTTAAATCTATAAGACTAATCAACATCTTCTCGTGCTGGCAAGTAAATAAATAAGTGATTTTAATTTAGTGCTTCTGTAGTAAGACTTGGTGCATGTCAGAAATCTTTAACTAAAAAGACAAAACGTTTGAAACTTTAAGTGGAAGATCACTCTGATGAGAGACTGTGTGGACAACAGCAGCAGCTTGAACCAGACTTACTACAGCAATACAGAGGTTTGGGGAAATAAACTCTCCTCCTTTAGCTGCTGTGCAGAGTGGGTGACAGGATGAAGGAGGATCTGTTGTGCAGAGTGGGTGACAGGATGAAGGAGGATCTGTTGTGCAGAGTGGGTGACAGGATGAAGGAGGATCTGTTGTGCAGAGTGGGTGACAGGATGAAGGAGGATCTGTTGTGCAGAGTGGGTGACAGGATGAAGGAGGATCTGTTGTGCAGAGTGGGTGACAGGATGAAGGAGGATCTGTTGTGCAGAGTGGGTGACAGGATGAAGGAGGATCTGTTGTGCAGAGTGGGTGACAGGATGAAGGAGGATCTGTTGTGCAGAGTGGGTGACAGGATGAAGGAGGATCTGTTGTGCAGAGTGGGTGACAGGATGAAGGAGGATCTGTTGTGCAGAGTGGGTGACAGGACGAAGGAGGAAGAAGCTTTGGACTAAAAAGTGTGTGAGGGTGCAAAATGGTGCAGGACATGGGACATGATCCAGTTCACTTTTTGGCTACTTCCCCTTTCTTCAGAATAATCTGCCTCTGCCACGGGGCCAGTTTGGTCTCATCGTAGCCCAGGGTCCGTAGTCGCTCCAGCTCCTGCTTCTCCTCCTCCTCCTTCTCCTGTTTGGCCTGCTGTTCTGCTTTTCTGTGCATGGAAGAGGTTCAAACACGACCGTTAGCACTGAAAACTAATGTTCCTTTCAGGTTTCATTAGTTAAGAACTATAAGTACTCTAGTTTCACTACGATCGGTTTAAAATCATCTCTGATTTCAGAGAGTTAAATATTTGGGGGAAACAAAGTGACATCCTCCATTAGTCCACAAGGTCAGGCTCATCATTTATTGACAATATTCCACCCAAATGATGAACTCAATTTTACTTAAATTATAATTACAGTTATTTATTATTATAATTTATTAAAGTAAAATAATTTTGTTTTGCTTTTTGTGTCAGGAATATTATAATAATCAGCATCTTCGGAGTAAAGAAAACATGTTTGCTGTACTAGATTTAAAATTTAGTACAATACAGGTGACCCCATTAAAACCCACAAACCCCTTCATTTGTTCCATAATCCTCTTGTTAAAACTTTTTCATGGCAAAACTGACACCAACAAGAGAAACATTTTACCTGAATGTCACCAGGAGTTTCATCCTGATATAACAATTTTTTTAATCACGATGAAAAATGATTATAACAATGTGGCCTTTCTGCCTACTGGATTCAAGGATGATTCATTGCCATTAATCATACATATAAAATAATAATAGTAATGGAGGACATTTTTATTTATTTATTTTTGCCTTTAGGAGGTTTTAGTAAATTTATTTAAATTTATTCATCATTTTAAAAACTGTGTGGAACAAATAGAAATTCTTACCTTTTTTGTTCCCTGTCACATCAGGAGGTCAAAAACACAGAGAGAAAAGTGTAAATATATCTTAAATGGTAACAACAGATTTTCATCNGTTAACCAATCAAACACACTAAAATGTTAACCAATCAAACACACTAAAATGTTAACCAATCAAACACACTAAAATGTTAACCAATCAAACACACTAAAATGTTAACCAAACAAAAACTAGAGCATTACGTAAGATAAAAGTCGTCTGAAAAATCATGCTGAATTCTGATATTTACCAAGGCACATTTCAGTATCATGCGGCCTCCACATCAACATTTGAAGCAGAAATTAGCAGCCAATTTAAAAATGCCACTGATGTTAAATTTACAAYCAGCTACAAAATGGTGGTGCTGGTACAGTAAATCAGCTCTGCCTCATTAATAAACCGTCCCAGAGTTTGAGTGTAAAAAAAAAAAGGTTCAACAAATGTGACAAAAAGGCCTAGTTATTCACCTCTCCTCATCCATTTTCTTCTTCATCATGTCTCTCTTCCAGGCCGGCATTGAAGCCAGACGCTTGGCCTCCTCTTCAGCCTGTAAGGAGACAAGGACGGGGGGAGGGGATCCACGGAGGACAGAGACGGGGATCCAGACCAGTCAGTCAAGGATTTTAACTCCAACTGCATCCTTCAAACCCTCAAGGTTTTATTTTACTCTAATATGATCATATTTCACAATCTTTGGATAACATCTGTTTTAAAATGTACAAGAATTTTATTTTGCAGGACATTATCCTGAAATGTCAAAACACAGACTAAATGAAATTTACGGTTTCACAATCAGTAGTGTCAGAGAGAGAAAAAGCCTTTTTTTTTCCCTTACACATATTCCCAAATGTCATTTTTTAAAGTAATAATTTGCTTGTAAAAAGGACTAAAATTTCGACAAAGAACACTGTTTAAAGTGATGTCTGAATTTAAAGCTGACATTGTTCGCCGTCTTTGTTCGAGCTGAACCAGAAGCTTTTCCAGAGGTCAGAGTGGTGTTTATGCGACGCGTTCATCACGCACCACTTGCAACCGGATCCTTTTTTTCTCTTTCAGTTTGTCACTGGAGGTTGGGCCGAAGGAAAGAAGAGGGCAGGCAGCTTGGATTTCTCATCCTTGCCTGAGAAACTTTACCCTTTTTTGCATTCCTCTTACTGAAGGATTTCACTTGCCCCGGCTAACACGGATCCAGCTAAGATTACCTGAGTGGTGAATTTTTAATGATTCCCCTGGGAATTTCAGACGCCAAAAAAAAAAAAAAAAACAAAAAAAGGGCAAACAAAGTATACATTCATAATACTGTATACAGTTTGGTAAATTAATTAATAAGTAGTTTGTATTGAAAGTGGACCAAAGTTACTCATTGCTTATTTGCATACAAACGAAGTTGATTTGTTCAACAAATTAACATGGGATTTAGCCTCTGCCTTCAGTCTCTTGCTAATTTAATTTCAGTAAAGTTACTGTTTTTCCTCTAATCATTTACCTTTTTTAATACGAGCGATATGAAATATCCAAGCTACAAATTGGACAGGATTCCTAATGTGCTGCTTTTGTGTTCATGTTCAAATCGATGGACTTCATTCCTGTGAGCAAACATTGCATCAGAAATTTAACAATAAGCTCAGCTCTAACATTTATGATAAGAATTGAAGGGTGTCAAAATTCAAACATCATTTTAGTACTAACCCAAATTAAAAGAAATGCCTACAGTTGGATGTATAAACTCTGTAAGAAGTGTAAAGAAGATTAAAATGAATGTTAAATCTGCAATGGACAGCACTGATAAGGAAAAAAAAAACAATCTGGGAAGTTATGGATAATAAACATTAGATCATATTGTAATTTTTTGTTCAGTTTCATATAAATCCCATTTTCTTTGAATAATAAAAATCTGTTCAGTAAACGGCTTTTAGCCGACCAACCGACAGCTTCACTGTAACCTCCTCATGGCTTCTGTAAGCCTTGGATAGCATAACAGCAGGTGGCACTAAGAGGGTTATTTAAAGATAATCTTGATGCCACAGAATAGACACTATGAGAATAGTATGGCTCTGAGGGTTTTACATTCAGCAGTTGTGTGTGTTAGTGGATGTGACACCGGTACAGACAGTAAAACYGATCTGATATTAAAGGTAAAAGAAAAAAAAAACTATTTACTTGAAAACAGTAATTACCATTTTTGTATTTGTGTTTAATGTAAAGGATGGAGATGACTCTCAGCTACTACCACAGTAAACTGTATTTTTCTACTATTTCATGAAATKCTTACAGACAGAGATGCACACAAACAAACACTTCATAATCAATAATGATGATCAATAATGATGCCTTTACTATTGATCATTATTGTGTGTGAATGAATGACTGAAATCCTACAAACACAAACCTGTCTGCAAACTTTATTTCTGACAGTAATGCAGAAACCACATAATAAACAAATTAAACTCTGGAAACTGAGCTAATCTGTAGAATGCACCCAAATTACAGAATAATAAAACAATCAAATATATGCCAAAGCACTGTTACCGTCATTCATGATGGATTTAGAGCTCGACTGTTTTTACATTTAGCCAACTTGGTCGTTTCTGCAGCCTCAATCAGAAAGCACACAATGCACAGCTGAGTTTACAGATATTCACATAAACACGATCTATGAAACACAAGAAGAGATTCAACTTTGCCAGTCTATATAGGTAATTCTTTCATTTAAAATATTAGTGAATTAGTGGAATAAGGAGCACATAAAATCACTCCGAATCAAAATAAAAACTTTAGGTTTGGTAAAACGTTTTCCTCAGTTTATTGTGAATATCCAGCTTGTACCTTCGGGAGCTGAAATGTGATTTAACTTCACAAAATCACAACAAGCTGAGATTTGAATCTGGACTAAATGTCAAACAACCTGTACTGTACTGAATTCCCATTCCTTTAAACCAAATTAAATGATTCGTGTAGAAATAAAGATGTCATTCCAAACTCAAATCTTTGAAACCTGGTTTTACTCTAAATGTTGGAGATTTCCTTCTCTGCTGCTTTCACTTCTTTCAGGATGTCGGCCTGCTCTGAATTTCTCTTTTGCTTTGCTGTATTTTGATTATAAAACAATTACAGCTCGACAATAGCTTGTGTATCCAGAGAGGGACAATCCAACTGAATAAAAAAAAACAGCCACACCTTTGCTCAGTTCATGTGAAGTATTAACTGGACTGGTATTTTCCATATGTTGTTCTTATATTTATTAACACAATTCCTTTGAGATGAAAAAAAAAACTCCCTGATATCAATGGAAAACACACAATTATTTTTTTTTAAATAAATTAGGAAGGGACATTTTGGTTTATTTAACAGAGCAGACAAAAAATAAATACATAAATGAATAAATAAAAATAGGAACAGAAAAGAAGAGGTGGGTGACTAATGAAAGGGTGAATTTCAACATTTGTCAGTGACTGACAAACATGAAACGCCGACTAAACTAACCTCCAATTTTCACTAATGATTAAACATTTAAACTACTAAATTACGTCTTTAATGGCAAATCATTTCCCTTAAAACTTGTCAATCATGGCAACCAATCCATCCCTCAAAATGTTTTCAGAATAAGAGTGTTGCAACACGTTGTACGCTGTTTCTCCATCCATGCATATGGAAATGGAAAGTCTATACAGCTAAATAAAAGCTCTTTGCTGCAGGTAAATACCTCAGGTGACATGACCTAAAGACTAACACACCAGATTAGCTCGCTGGTTCAACATGTTGTGCAGGTTAAGTCTTCCCTTCCTTGCAGATAATGTTTAGTGAACTTACAGCTCATAGGGTTGTTAAATATCAAAAAGCTCAGCTTCCTTTTCTTTCCAAAAAGCAAAGCTTCGATCAATGTATCTGATGATTTCCTCATTGCTGAACTCTTTTAGCTCATAAATCACTTTGATTGCGTCCTCATTAGGCTCATCTCTGGGTGGTGGAGGTGTCTCTATTTGACCAGCACCCGGTGGAACGTCTTTCTTTGGACTTGATCCCAAGCTGTCTCTTGTGTCCTTTTTTGTCTCAGCTTGTTGTACGCTTTTAGTTGTCAAGTTCTGCATTTGGTCTTGCTCCGAAAGTGTCACATTAGAAACTAGAGGTTCATTTGATGGATTTTGTTCATTGGATGTGACATTTTCTTGAACACCGCCCTCCAATGAGCCGCTGCTGTCAGATGCATCATTCTGGGCGGCAGAAGGTGGCGATGGGTAAACGGCTGGTGATGCTGATGAAGGGTCAGAGGAAAGCACATTTGGAGATGGGGGTGCAGGATAGGTAGGAGGTGGAGGGGGTGGATGAGAAGGTGGTGGGGGAAGTGACTCCTGTGAGGGCACTGCAGACAGATCAGGAGACACTGAATGCAGAGAAGCTGTCATCATACCCACCCCGTCATCGGTGTCCCCAAAATACTTGAGTTTTATATCCTCAAAGCCATCCGCCCAATCTCGTTTCCCACTCTCAATTTCTGTCATGACTTCCCTGTGAAACTGTCTGATTACCTCCCATTTATGGCTACCGAGACGGTCAAACATCTCGTAGCACAAGAGGTGGCGGAATTTCCTCTCACCGCGAGACATGTTCATTTCCAGTAACTGGAAATACCCAAGCATGAAGAGGTCAAGGGTTAGACTTTCATAACCGACTGGTGAACCATTGATGTGTGGCAAGAAGTGCTCCGGCCAGTACATCATCTGAGCCCGACTCAGCCTGCGGATCTGACGAGTGGGCACCTGGCTCATGATGGTTCTCCAGTGGCCAATCAGATTCCCTACTACCTGCTTGGACTTCATAAACGTAATCATCTTGTCATCGTCACTGTGCGTTTCCCCGTCAACCTGGTCATTAAACTGGCTGTAGTCCTCACAGCCAACATCCAAGTAATTTCCTCTCCTGCCTGTATATTTAGTCCGATAAGATTCTGAGATGGTGTACTTTCGCCAGTGTTCGAGAAACAGGAGGACAATTCTTTCCTTCCTCATTTCGACGCACTCCTGGACGTAGCTCATGTCTGTCTGCACCTCCAGGCTTCTGGTTAATTGGTCATTATTTAAAACGGGGTCTGAAGAAAGAACCTGGTTGAACTCTTGCATGTTGGTTGGAGCCATTGGTTCAGATGTACCATACATTGGTTGAACATGAGATGCTATAATAACTGGTTCCTCAACGAGTGGTAAGGCAGATTCCTCCACTGAAGGTAAATGTCCATTGGTGTTGAAGTCTAGGACTGTAGCAGAGGAGCAAGGCACATCATCTTTGCAACTTGTCTCTAGACAATAATCAGACTCACTCACCACAGGAAGAGACCTTTTGCGCTTGTAAATCCTACTAGCTTGATTGTTGGTAAACTGTGTCTGATTCTGGATCTCATAATTAGCCTTAAGATTCTTCACCGAAACGCCACACTGCTTGATTTCCCTTTCCACATCTTCTCTGGTTGAGAAGGACTGAGAGCGTCCGATAAATCCAGTGTTAGCAGAGGTTTGAGATGGGCCTGTGCTTATATTTTTTACTTCTTCTTGAGAATATCCAGGAAATATAAGTTCCAGTATGTCTATCTGTTTGCCTCCCAGGGTTGCGAGTAGAATGGCCATGCTCTTGAGCAGGGTGGAGATCTTGCTGCACCATGCTGGGAGATCCTCGGCTTGTCCGTGGACTTGCTTTGGATTGACAGAGAAGTACTCCTGATTAAGGGCGGCGGATACTGGCAGAAGCTGGTGAAGCTCTCGCTCTAGTTCCTCCAGTTCCTTTTCCACTTCTGACACTTTGTGCATGACCTGCAGGTTCTCAATTTGTTTCTCAATTCGATTCAGGTCCCCCTCGGTCATCAATTCTCCAAACGGGCCCAAAATGGCATTGTGGGTGTGGGAGTAGTGCCACTCCTGAGGTTGGTAGTGCCCACTTGATGCAAACTACATGAAATGTCAGAGGAGACCAGTAGGACAAGAAAACAAAGGAGGGGAGGGGAGGGAGGAACTCCTTCAGTAGAATGTTCCTGGTATGAAAAACACGCCTCAGTGCAAATCCATTCCAACACACAGGATTTACATGGATTTAGTGGTGCAATGGCACAGCCTCATTAGGCACTAAACTCTCTTCTGTAATTTAGAATCAAGGCGAACACAGAGTTCTTTGTGCTTTTTGAAAGAACATGCAAATATAGGCTACACAGACCAACATTACTACAGAAGGATGTTACAAAATGTCTGTATTTAGATCCTCGACACTTCTGACCATCTCACAGAAAAAAAATGCTCAGTGTGTCGTTGCAATTCCATCATGCTAATTTTCCTAGCTTAGCGTTTGTATCCCCTTTCAGTTTATAGATGTGCTGTACAAACGTAGAAAGAAAAAAAACTGATTTTAGTGACATCTAATGTTTAGTAATTTACGCCACATGCTTCATTTGTGACCCAACTAAGACGTAACACTGAATTAGGTTTACAACATTGTGAAGAGATAATCATTTCTGTTCCCCTAACCACTTAAAATTTTGTTTTGCTCATTCAATCAAGAGAGTTGGGTGGAGGTGTCCCAATTCTGTTTGTGGTGTAGGGGGAGGGTATTTAGCCAAGGCACATTTCAAACAAAGCTTTACATTTGTACAACATTAGATTTGCTCTTAGCTTGCAATGCTATATTTAAAGTGCCAATTATCCCAAGCATTCTGCCCTCCACCTACATCACAAACAAGATTATGACAAACCTAACCCCAACATGAATGGACAAAATGTTGTGTTAAGACTAAATAGGAAATGGGGTTGCAGGAGTACAATATACTCTGATGTTTTCAGAACAAAAGATCTGCCAATTGGATCAATGAGGAAACTATCCCCTTGGAAAAACAAAAATAAAGCAACACTGCTGCTTGACTTTGAAATCATCGCTGCTGTTGTGCTAGCTTTGCAGTATCATGAAAGTTAAAAAAACTAAACAAAGATAATATTTATGAAATATATATATGAAATATATATATATTTGGCATATTTATTATCAATATTATCCGTGGACCTGTAGTGTGAATGGGCCAGGCATCACACCACTGAATCTGCATGTAAGGACTTGGAGTCACCAAACGTTGCCATCAAACATCAGCTTGAGTTTGTTTTAGTGATGGTTGCTGTAGCCAAGTCTTCAATTCAATGCACTCCAACATCAATAATTACGTATTAAAACATGCAAAAACAAAATGTTAAGCAGATGGATTAGGACATTTAGAGCTATTTTTTTCCTTTGTTTGCAGGTGAAATTATATTACTCAAACCTGCTGCCCACCTTAGCTATAAATAAACCTTTTGCCAGTCTTATCTGTAATATGTTTTACTGCTTCTATGGTATTTCAATAAATGCAAATCCTCATGTGTGTCACTGAAGAAAATAAAAATAAACTATGGCTACTATATCATTTAATATGATAAGATTGCAGTCTGTGGTCACAAAAATTATTCATATAATTTAGTAAATTTCATGCTAATGAAGTCTATTTTGTAAAGCTAACAAGTGTGTAGATAGTTTCAAAATGAGTAATCAATCAATATCTTGCCAAAATAATTATATTAAGCATACGTCAAAATAAAAGTTGAGATAAATTAATAAACAAAACATGTAAATATGCTACTGGTTATATGCTAATGTTTTATCTTAGATATAATTTTCCTAAATAGGATTTGGTGAATTTGCAGTCTTTACTGCTTTGTGCTTTTTTGTCTAAAAGATGCTAATTATATCTTTACAAAAACATAATACCTTAACACAAAATAAAGTTCAACATTAAAAAATTCACACACAAATCAAAATCACCTGCAATCCCTTTTGCATTTGTTTTTCGACAAAAGACGCCACATTTAGTTGTTTCAACACTTTTAAAAGTTAATAAAAAAACACAAAAGGGATCATCAAACCACAGCAACACCGGCCGACTTGCTCCACCTACCTTGCGTTTGTGGTCATCCTCCTCTTGCATTTTGGCCTGAAGCTTGCGCACCATCACCTGCCTCTTCCACTCAGGGATGGCTTTCCCCTGCTCGTCGTGAGTGGGCACCAACGCCTCGACGTCCGCCAGACTCGTCTTCCTCACCGACTCTGCTTTCACTGAGCTGCCGCCGCCGTTCCCGTTGACGACGGAGGACAGCTGCTCGTAGCTCGCGGAGGTCGACATGACCCTTGAGGACCCAGAGCCGGTGGGGCTGGGGCTAGGGCTGGGGCTTGGGGTGACGGGTGGGGAAGTGACGGGTGTCTCGGACTGTGTAGGGGAGGCTGGTTTGGCTGGTGGGGTTTCAGACKGAGTCTCTGGTGGTGTGGGGGACTCCTTGAGGAAAGTAAAAAGTCAATTTTATCTAGTTGAATAAGCAATAACTAAAATACTAAACTTTTGTTACTGTTAGCTAATTAAGTCCTGACTTATTGAAGATTAGACACACTGGGCTACATTTTTCTCTATTTTGGTTTTATTAATATGAACTCTTGTGAGCAAAACAGACATAGTAGCATCAAAACCACAAGTAAAAACTGAACTAACTACATTGTGCCGCTGCCTGTTCCATAAACTCGGCTTACATTGTTGCCCGTGGGTCCGCTGTTGGAAAATACAGTGGTGTAGCCTTTACTGTGTGGCGTGGGCTTGAGGCTCTTCCCTGCTTTGATCTCTGCCAGCAGCTCCGAGTTGTCACCGGTGGGGGACATCATGTTGAAAGACTTTGTGCCTGCGGAACAAAAGGGGAGAGCGCAGACGAGTGAAGCCTAGCAGAAAGACGGGACAGAAACAGACGGACACGCCAAAGAGGAGAAGAGGGGGTGGGTGGCCTTTCAGTGTTCAATATTTCATCCAACGAGCCGGGTTGCAATGCGGACCGGGGGGGTCAGGATGATCATTATTAGGAATATATTTAATTCCTGCGGTTGGCGTTTGCATTCATATCTCTTGAGGTTGTGCTGCAGCTTAAAACAGGTTTCTCATTAGGTCACGGCTCATTGGTAACACTTTGACACAGGCTTGGATTAGAAGGGGAGCTTTCTCCTTTTTGGACAGCAGGTGGATGGAGGGAATACAAACAAGTGCTCTAGTAATGGTTGTAAATACATTTTTGATGGAAAAAAAAGTTACTTTCCTTTCTATATTATCTATATGTGTCAGTTTTTGGTAATTAAAGTGGAGTCAAAAGAAACTACCGGTGTGGGAGACTGGATTTATCCCATAGAATGCTGAGAGATTGTTCCTTTTCAGACATTGAAACAAAAAACCTTACATAACTTTACTCTCTTTGTTCACCTTATCCAATTTTTTTCTCAAATCAAAAGGAAGTCATTTTGAGATAAAGAGTTTTAATGACAAAAACACATAAGGTGCAGGAGAAAATAAACCATTTATTAAAACTGTCTTTATAACAAATACCTTGGTGAACAAAAACTAGCAGCTATCCTTTGTTGTGTTTAGTTTTTCGCAAAAATTAAGCCGCGTACAAATATAGCATGATTTGAAATGCAGCCAAAGTGGCATCAAAACCATGATTTTTGTTTTCTTACCTTTATAAATACATTTCAAAACAAAAACATTCTAGATTTTATATCAGCGAACACAACTAAAAGCTACAGGTTACATCATAAATAAAACTGTCATGCAGCATTCTATTCACTGCTTTAAGTTCTAAAACATTAACAAGCAACAATAACTGCCTCACCTGGTTGAGTGAATGTAAACCTCCAGTTTAGCAAATATCCTCAATCCCTCATTGTTTACTCTTTCTGTTTGCTGAACGGGGAAGTGGGGGTTAGAGAGAGAAATTGTCCCGTATAAAGTGTTCCCTGTTGAGACGACCACAAAGGTCTATTTGGACTCTGGCTTAGCGTGCCACCCCTCCTCACGCTCTCCCGCTCTCTCGTGTCTCGTGTTGGGGAGGAGAGAACAGCTTTCCATTAAAGAGCCATCATCACAGTTGGGGGAAATCTAAAGGAATCACCCGTAACTGGAAGTGACAGCGGGCCAGCGGAAAGCCGGCCAGGAATTAACGCGCAAACGCACGAACACACAGCCGCAGCTGAATCCTCCGCTCGTAGCTCCACAGTTTTGTTTCTCGCCGAGAGTAAAAAGATTCAAACAGCAAATGATTATAGAGCTTCCAACACACTGATTGTGACTGCAAAAAAGTTGATATAAAAAAAACGGACAAACCTAAAATTTACTTTCTAAGGATTATTATATTGTTTGACATACAAATAGTGTATTTTGTAACAAATCATCAAGCAATTCTTCAGTTCATGAGTTGATTATCTAAACTTTATCTCAAAATGACCACGCTTCACTGACTTTCTTATGACAGCGAGATGATTATGATGCAAAAAGAAGACATTATTGTAACACTTGCAAGTGAATTCATGTCACTTTGACAAACTATTAGACAAATGCAACAAAGCAAACTTCTTGTCTTGAGAAATACAGTCCTCTTATTTTAAGATTTATAAATACTCATCACACCAAAACAGAAAAATTTCACAAGATATTGAGATATTTGGAGAAAAATCATGAAAAGTGACAGCATACCTTCAGCCTTTCAAGCCCAATCCTCCCCACAAAGATCCAGAACAGTTAATCTATAATGGGATGTGCTTTAAAGAATTAAAAATGACGCTGGACTGAAACTGAAGCATCTACTTCATGGAGACTGAGACATGCGCCGGCTGCTACTTTCTGTTTAGCCAGGAGGGGTGGATTGAGTGGGTTTGAGCGAGGCTCCAGGTGTGGCAGGTGAGGAACGTATGACAATTAGTTAATGGACATCTTCGAACAAAAAGCCTTTCAGCCTTTTAGGGCTTGCTGTAATGTTTGTGCGACTCTACCAAGCAGCTGCACGGTACATTCAGATGAGTCCTGTAGCACAAAAAGCTGAATTCCTCACATCTTGTTCAAAAACAGAAAATAACGTGTTGCCGACGCCAGTGTCGCTCCGTCGTCTCGACTCAGGTTTCAATGAACGTCTGAGCTGAATTTTCAGTTGATTTTTAAACTTTTTTGAAGGTTTTTAAGATTTGTCGGTTTATTGACAACATAGTGAGAACAATAACATTTGTTGAACATTTGTTTCAGATTATGTAAAATGCTCCTCAAAGACAATTCTATTTCTTACAATTATCTCCCATTATTGTTGCTTTATTTTACAGGTTATATTACAAAACCAGTTGGGGACAAAAAAGATTTCTTTTTAAAATTTGGTTGAATTTAAATCCATTTCCAAATAGTTATCTTTTTTTGTCCTGCAAAATGTATATACTTACATTCTTGAGAATGTTTATTTTAAATTTAAAAGGAGACATTTTTTTAACCCCCCCCCCCCTCGCTTTGAGGTCTATATAAAGTTGAACTGCAGTGCTTATATCCTCCTTATTGTAACTCCACAAGCCCCTCTTTGAGGTGTGTCTCAGATCAATCTTATGTTGATGCTGTCTCTTTAAATCCAAACAAGGCGCTTTTCTTCACACCAAGCCCCCTCCAGCTTCCTTTCTAGTTTGATAGAGGAGGTTACAACTATAAAGTGGTGCAGAAACTTTAATTTCTAAAAACATGTACGATAGGTTGCCTTCAGGCCCAGGTCTCCCTTAAAGATCTGTTCTCTCGATGGGTTCTGCCTGGTTAACCTGTTAAGCCCCAAGGGGTTTTCTTGATGTTTTTGCTCAAAATACCATGCTGAAATTTAACAGAGTATCTCAGCATTTACAAACTCTACTTAAATAATCTTGGTATCAAAATAAAGCTAACACTTGGGAGATTTCATGAGAAGTGTAAAGTATTAAAACAGCTGCTGTTGTTTTAGAGATACTGAGGATGAAACATAATATTTTTACCTTTTTTTTCCCTCCCGTCGGAATTTTGTTTTGCATTTGATAGTATATAACCCATTTAAAACCAAAATAAAGTAGGCTAAAAACTCTTGGAAACCATAAATCCACTTGTGGGCATTACCTGTGCAAAGATTCATGCTGATAAAATGAACTGGAGCAAAGTTACAGAGGCTTTAGTAAAGAAATAATTTTGCAATTTGTCATTCTGCACAGGACGAACCATGTAGGTACCATTAATAAATGTTAGTAAATGTTAAGTTTTTAAATGCACAAGTTATTTATTTTTTCTTACCTGACTGAAAAGACTTGTTATTGAATGTTTAAAAAAGAAAAAAAAATATATAGGTCTTCTGGACGGGTTCTTCTTTAATGAAACGTTTCGTCTCTCCTCCAAGAGACTTCTTCAGTCTGAGAGTTTCAGGCAAAATTCAGGCTTTTAAGCACTGCTTCCATGTGACTGATACTCACATCACATGGCTATCGTTGACACCTAATTAACATCTATTGTTAACAGGGGGTGGAGTGATACTGGCAATAGCAGCATTGTAGGAGGGGGACAACGGAGGCCTCCACCTCTGTTTAATAATGGACGGTCTTTCTTCACAAAAATGGCTTCTTTTACTCCTCTCTCAAACCAACGTTCCTCCCCATCAAGAATGAGAACATCCTCATCTCTGAAAGAGTGACCGCTGGCCTGTAAATGAGTGAAAACTGCAGAGTTCTGGCCATTAGATGTAGCTCGTCTGTGTTGGGACATTCTTCTATTCTTCATTCTATTGAATGTTTGTTCTTTGGAAAAATTATCCAAACATTTCTTTGTCACCATATACTGTGTATTAAATAAAATAATTAGAAATTATATTTGACTTCAGTTGGACCATATTCACTCAAAATCTAGTGAAAAAAAAACTTTAAACACACTTTACAACATATTTAGGTATCTGCTTTGACTTACTTTAAAAATAAATGTCAAAAATTTTTCCTTTACAGATTTGTTGTAATGTTTTTACATATTCGCAACAATCCCATTTTGTACAGTTTGTTTACTTTCTGATTCAACTGCCTGTCGTTTGAACTGTGTTTGGTGGATAAATATAGTTTCCATGAGCATTTAGCCAAGATTCTTAGGTTTCTTTTGATACCAAACATGTCAGATTTCACCTTACTGATATTAAGTTAACAGAAGTTAAAAGATATAGAAAACAGGAAATGCTGTTCAATAACGGTGAATAAATAATAAATAAATTTACAAATAAAGATGTCAACAACAGAAGACTTGTCCATCCAGCCTTATGAAGATGATCAAATTGTAGTTGGTAAGTCCAGACCCCTCATTAGGCAGGTTTGTTACAAATACGGTGACGTCATAGAAAATAGAAAAAAACTGAACAGGTTGAAAAATATGACCCAACCAGAATATGAAGATATCCAAGCAGCCCCAGGAGAAACTAAATTAATCTTTTCTGCTCTCTTAGAGACTCCAAGTATACAACAAAATGCATTTAACAACTAAAAAAGTGGATTTTGCATCCTATGTCCCCTTTAAATGCCTGGACTAAATCGTGTTACCACGAATGAAGATCTTGGATACACGTTTCTTTCATTTAAGATGACCAAAGAAGCTTAATGAAACTTTATAAATGCAGAAAAGCAGTTGGAAGTCAGAGTTATGAAGGGTCAGGTTTGTTGCAACTCAGCTGGTAATTTTACTTCTCATTAAACAGAGACAGAGATGCTTTTTGTCCTGCATTTTTGTTATTTGAATATCAAAGTGTATTTATCTTTGCCTACATTATAACAGAACAGTTCTAGTGAAACGCCAAGTTTATTTTCATCTGTTAAAATGAAATCATGAATCACTGATAACGACACACCTGTTGAATCTGAGTGATATGGATCTGAGGTGAAGCCTGGAAAACATCTACAGAAAAATCTAGATGATGAATATAAATGCTTTATTTAGGAAGTTTTTGGGTAAATATTGAAATTGAAAAATAACTATTTTTTGTCTGCTTCTACTTACACTTCATCTGTCTAAGAAGCCCAACTTCTGGCTGAGAGGAAGGGATGTTCCCACCTTGGCAGAGCAACAGGGAAGAAGAAGACGCAGCACGGCAGGAAATTAGGGGAAAAAAAGAGAAATACAGACAGAGAAAGCAGGTGAAAAAAATGAAGTAAAATAAAAGCTTGACAGAAAAAAAAATTGTTTTAACTTTTTAAGAGGGTGCTCTGACTAAAGTTTAGGAACAATTAATGTCTTACCTGTTATACAGCTCTTTGACTGACATCACTTTGCAGAAATAAAGCTGCATTCTGACTAATTTGAAGAACTAATGGCTAGTCTGAACAGGGACCGGACTAAAGATAACTGCTACTGTCTTAAAAAAAATTCAATATAAAATATTTCAATAACTTTTGTCCAATTTGGTAATGGCTCAGACCATTCTGAGAGCTGTCTACAACAGGTAAAATAACTAGAAAAGTAGCATTTTCTGCAAAAATGCAGTGTAAATGCTTCTTGCTAAATTATTATTGCTGAAGTATAAAAGTTTGCAATTTGTTGCAAAAAAATAAGCCAAAAATGCTAATATACTGTATTAGCAGAAAAGTAGCTAAAAAGGTAACTGAAAAATCTGAATCGAGAGCAAAGAAGCAGAAAGAGCACGTTTGCTGAATTAAGCAGCAAGAAGCYGAAATCACAAAAAAGTTGACTTTAGCTGAAAAAGAAAAGATTAGCCGAAATAGATCAAAAGTAGAATAAAGAGCTCAAATTAACAGACAGATGATTGAAATACAAAATAGTTTAAATCAGCAGAAAAAAACTAAAATTAGAAAAAAAAAAGACACTGAACTATGGTGAAATTTGCACAGAGAAGTTAAAAAGCAGAACCAGAACAAGAGGTAAAAAGTGCAGTAAAGGTTTGTAAACATTTTAAATGGTTTTAGAATGATTGAATGGAGTTATTTTCTTTTTCCATTACAAAAAAGTCAGAAAAGGCTAAATATCTCAAAACTGCTACAATTAAAAAACAGCCAGAATATTCTGAAGGATGTATACATTTTTGAAAATGGCACAAAAATTGTGAAATGGGATATGTGCCCAAAAACGTACAGAAGGAAAATGGAAACCATCTTCCCACAGAACCCCACTTCAAAAAATTTGAAACGTTGATGGAAAAAGAGAAGCGCTGGCTTGCATTCAAACTGAACTCAAATAAATCTATTATTTAATTCTTTGTGTCATTTGAATTTAATGAATAGTCTAATAATAATAATAATAATAATAGTTTAATAGAAAGTACATCAGAAATATAAAAAGGTCAATTGCAACATTTAGAGTTTTGTTTTAATTTCCTGCAGCCAGAGCAGAATGGATGGCAGTGTGGCACTTAAGGAAATGGCTGAACACTAAACCAGATCTAAGGGTAATGGTAGCTCCGCATCATTAATTTATAACTAGTTATTTAGAACGCCAACATGGGACACGATAGGGCTGGGCGATATGGCCTAAAAAAATCTTGATTTTTTTTCATCCCAAATTCGATTTTAAATCGATTTTTATCATTCCTTTGCTTTCTTAAACACAAATTACAGAAAATATTTTTTAAAACTCTTTTATTTGAACCATCCCTGCTGGGAGTTGACCTTAATTCAAAGTGCAACTAAATACTAGCTATAAATCATGCTTTTCAAACAAGATGGCCGGTCCCGCCATTGTAAACAATGAAAATATAAATAAAATATTTGTAGCTTCAAGTAAACACAATAAGCTAGTTTGAAAATTAGTGTAAACAAAAATAGCAGTCCTGTTTAAAACATACATTCAAGCAAAGTCAGTAAGTACATTCTTGATGTCTTTTTTTTCCCCCACACACATTTTTGGCAAAGAAGATAAGCCTGTCTACTGCATCTTCATGCATGCCCTGTGGCTTAAACAGAAAATACAAATTACAGAAAATAAACTCAAAAACTTTTTCTATTTGAATCAACCTTCAGGAGTTGATCTGAACTCAAAGTCCAACTGTGCAAATGTTTAGTATTGGGCATAAGGTCAYTGTGGTTGGTCTTCACATGGGTTCTAAGTGGGGGTGGGAATAAAGTTGTATCGAGGGGGTTTTAAGGTCAAGTGAGGGGTTGGTTAACTGTATCATTTTCTGCTGTGATCCCCATCTAGTTGGGGACTCTGTTATTAGCTGATGAGGGGGCAGACTTAGCTCAGCCTATACTTCGTTTTTTTCCAACTATAGGAAAAAGCAGCAGCAGCCTTTTTACAAACACATTCAATCCGTGGGTCCTTCACACCATTTTCTGTAAAACAATAAAAACATAAATGGATCAGTTTTACTGTAATAGTGAGATACATTCAACATACTTGTAAAAAAAATCAGAAAAAAAAAAATTCAAATTAAATTGATTTATTTATTTTCCAGATTTCAACATTTTACAGCTGTAGCCACATACAGACACACAGATATGATCTGGCATCAGCTGCACTTTATGTAAATACTGTAACAGTTTATCAAATTTTTAAGGTGTTKTATATTTTTAATGTTGTCCTCTGATGATGCTATTCTTTTAGGTGTTTTTAATTTCTGTCTGCAGTTCTTGAGTGCATTCTGAATCTCAACAAAAATTTAATTATTAATGATTCTTAACATACTCACTCATGTTACATAGACACTCATGATGAATGCAAATAATATAAAAAAGACAATAAATAGATCTTACCTATAGCATTATGTAGTTTATGACCAAAGCACTGGAGGTTTGKCCACYYGAYGTCTTTCAGAGCTTTAATGATGTTTGWGCYGCTGTCTGTTGTCAYACAGAYGAGTCGGTCTTCAGTTTGGTTCCAGGAGCTCAGAGCTTCTTTTAATCCCTCTGCGATTACTTCACTTTTGTGATCATTAGGAAAGTAAGCYGTTTGCAGWCAGATACTTTGWAGAGCCCAGGTTTTGTCAACAAAATGCACTGTTAAACTCATTTATGGCTCCATTGTTCGACTGGACCATAAGTCCGTTGTTGCAGAAAAAAAACGCACATCCTTCAGCACGTTCGATATCTTTTCACGCGTGTTGTTTGTTGTAAAGCTGTGGCAAGGAAACTTCGGYGAAATATTTAGCTAGGTAGCAYATACCTGGCGTCCACAGTGTTCAGCAGCTGAATAAAGCCRGGTTTTTCCACTGTATAAATAGGCACCATATCTTTTGCGATGTAATACGTGACTGCATCTGTGATGGCTTTCCACCGGGCGCTCTTCTTTTCGTAAGGAACGCAGTTTGAAAATGATTCCCCTAAGGTAGCTTGTCTTTTGGCGGCGCTGCTTTTTGGGCTGCTGCTAGCTTGAGTTTGTCGTGAAGAGCAGCATTTCTCCCACTCCACAGAGTGCCTCTGTTTCAGGTGTTGAAATAAGTTTGTCATACTCCTGCTTTTGGTAGCAACAACCTTCAAACAGATTTTGCAGCGAGCTGTTTGTTGCTCCGAGTCCGCGGTTGCGAAACCGAACCAGTTCCAGATAASTGAAGACACGGTGCCTTTTTGGGAAGTTCCTCTTTGCTAGCGTCCATATTGTCTTGCGTCTTGAGGGACGGGACGGCCGGGGTGAAACCTACAGACCTCCGAACTATGGAAGCACCAAATAGTGCACTCGAGGGGGGGATTCCGATTTCCCCAAAATTAAATCGTTATACACAGCAAATTCGAATTAATCGATAAAATCGATTTATCGCCCAGCCCTAGGACACGACTCGTCGTTAAGGATGATTGAATTGTTCTTTTTTTGATCAGACTTTCTCAGAATAAAACAATGGAAAATCTGCAACTGATTATCAATCTTACACTGAAGTGGGACAATTAAGTTGACAGAATAAAAGAAATAAATAAATGTGCAGGGACACTCACTTCCTGATGAGGAAGATGGGCGTCGCTGATCAGTGGAGGTGCTACTGGCATTGTTCTGGGTGGGTTGGGTCCCAGAGGGCAGCGGAGGAGGAGGAGGGGGAGTTGGCATCGGATTGCTTTGAGGAAGAGGTGGCGGAGGAGGTGGTGGAGGGGGAGGAGGCGGGACAGATTCCTCTGCGGCGCCGTTCCCGGAGCTGGAGGCGGGGCTCTCGGTAGGTTCCTCCAACACCACCGATCCCTGAGAGAGAAAAACAAGGAGGCTGATTTTAGTCACCTCATGTTTCCAAACTTTTCAGGTTTGATCCATAAAAATAACCGCAGTAGAGACAGGTGACCTTGAACAGGCCATGTCGTAGTTACAAATGAGCTCATTACGTCTGGCGATAAACAGAGGTTGCAATGGAAACGCCACTGGAAGAAAGCAAAAAAAATTTTCTTTTGAAAACTTTATTCATTTCTTTAAAAAATAAAACAAATTTAAATACAATAAAAATACAAATCACAAATAAAATGAAAGGCGGCAAAAAGAAGAAAAAAATCTTAGTTTCTGCACCTTTTTCCTCCCAAAATTAACATTTTTTAACAATAACAATCTACAAACAAGAAAAACTAAACAAAAACAACCTCAAATCCTTGTCGAACAGAGGATCAAAAATTTTACAAGCTTAAAAAAGAAATTTATAGCTTTAAGACATTTATGAAAAATCTCATCTGATCCTAAATGAAAATTTGACAAATGAGTTTAGAGCAAAAACCACAGGTGTGTATAAAAACATAAATTTATCATAGGGTTACAATGGAGTTTGCACATTTGTAACTATTTAACTAGAAAATGGTCTTATTTGACTCATTGAAATATACAAACACAAAATAACACTTTCAACATCTATTGTAGCTTTTATTTTATTTTATTAGCATTTATGACTACTTTTTATCATTTCTTCTAACCATTAGAAGTATGATAGATAAAATACACTTCTTAATTTTTATAGATCTAAATGGTTGGACCAAAACTTAAACTTCCATCTCGCCCAACATCTCTATACAGTCACTGTAATGGAGATAATACTTTTAGGTTTGAGCCAGTAATTCATGACATACTTTAATCACCAAGTTTGTCATGACACCCTGTTCATCAGTGATTACAGCCAGAACAAGATCTGCTAACCACACTCGTTCTCAGATATCACTTGTGTTTAATTTTTGTGTTTTTCTTTGCCTCAGCATGTCCTTAGGATGAAATCTTGCTTTATTAAGATGACGTAATGGTGTTTGTTAAACAGTATATCTGAAGCCTCAGCTGCCTCAGAGAARCAGAAACAGGAGCAGAGAGCAGGGGAACAGTCTGATGGCTCCATGTTCTCTACGTTCCTGTTGTTGCGAATAAAACTCAGCAGAGTGCCTTCATTCTTGGACCACATATTTTCTGTCGTTGTTAAATAAATATTTCCACAACAGTCACTATTGTGTTCAACTCTTGAGTGATGAAACCAAAAGTTGTGTTTTATGACACCCATTGGTCAATTTGATTTTTTTCATCGCTTAATTTTTCTGTAACAGCCGTTATAACAAAATAATTAATCTGCTCTTGTAAAAAAACACTTTATTCTTTTTGAGTCTGACATGTTAAGTTTCTGCAGGGTTAAATAAATGTTAAATTCTTGCACAGCGGCGTCTGACAGTGACAGATGTACGGCTTCTCCTTATTTCCTGCTCATAAAGACACAATGCCCTTTCAGTAATAAGTGAGCTAATATGACCTAATCCCAAAGGGTGGGGGTGGGGGGGGGTTCTCTGAGGAGAAAGCTGCAAATTTGCCATCTGTCCCTGCCAGTGATAGTCTTACACGTGCACGGCACACTCCCAAAGCGTGCCATAACTCGGCCGGAGGGGGGGACTAACGGGCCGTGTCATTTAACTCCATCCAGCCACCCCCCCTTTTGCTCCTCAGACGCGTGCTCATCATTGTTGCCCCCTTTTACTTTCAAACCCCCCAGAGAGTTGCGGTGGGGGGGGGGGGGGTGACCAGATGGGCCTTGGCGGCACGTGCCATTTCCGTCGATTAGCTCGTCCATCTGCCGGGGTCCTCTGAGACAGGGAGGGGCCCCTCTGAGGCCGTAATTGGCTCAGTGTGGATTATACCTTGTGTGCCCCCTCTGATGCCCCCCCCCMCCCCACCCGTACTCCTGGGATTTTGAAAACCTCTCCAGAGATCATGATCATTGAGTCCAACAGACTCCATTTTTTTTGTTGTTGTTCTTGTGAAGCTATGTTGCAGCAAACAGATCAGTTTATCTGTTCGTATGAAATACTTTCTATGCCAGAAATGTTTTTTTTTTTATGAAGGCCGAATAAACACAACATTTTTWAATTGTGACAGCACCAACCTTTTTATAAGGGAGCTTGTATTTCCCAGTTTGAATCCAGTAAAAAATATTTAGTTATGAGCCTTAACGTTGGAAAAAAGGGAAGATAACAACTCAGACTTAAAAATCCGGTGGAATGGCTGCTGGACTAAAATACCGCAAAAATAAAATTAAAAAAAAATTGACTGAGAAACCAAAAAGTGTAACAACAACAATCCATGCATGGTTAGTTCTTTGATTTTTATTATTATTTTTTGCTTCAAAATGAAACAAGAAAAAGCAAATAATTGGGAGCTTTTTATTCTTATTTTTGTTCTAAAACTGCAAAAAGTCTATTTTTTAAAACTTTTTGTTTAAAGCAAAGACAACAGTAGAACAGCTCATCCAACATGATGGCTGTCTTGGCTTCTTCAGTGGTGTGGTTTCTTGTTATGCTGACTGGTACAACCAATGGCTACTCCACATTGAAAGTGGTTATGATGTGGACTTCTCTGGTTCTGCTGGAGGAGTACCTCCTAGTGGACTTACAGAAGCAAGCCATGGTTCTTCATCTACATTCATCTTCATCTTCATCTACTTCTGCCAGAAAGTATTTTGTTACTTTCTGGCAGAAGTGGAAATCATTATGGCCTAAACCTGGAGCATTTTGTTTTCACTTAGTTTTCACTCTTATTTAGAAGAAGTTCATGCATCTTGAAGAGTTGTACCATGATCAAAATTGATCCACATTATGCAGAATCAGGTTCGAGTGCAGCCAAAATCTTTARGATCAATTTCTTTTTGTTTTTAGTAGTCTTTCAGCCACTATAAACTTGGCAACCTTCGTCATTTCTGGTATCACTACATATTAAAACAGCAATTTTATTTTAGATTTAARTAGCAGAAGCAAAAATCAAACACTGYAGAATTTTTTTAATTACTTCTATTTTACATTTTTATATTTAGGTTTTGAAAAAATTAAAAAAAAATAAAAAGTTGTTTAACTTTTGCAATTTTTATTTTGAAACAGAAAAAAAACAGAACAAACCATGCACAAATTAACACTAAATATGAAATGAGAATTTTTGTGATTGTCATAACTAAATAATAAACTTGTCGATTTTTCATCTAAACGTCCCTTTTTCAGTGATGGTAGTTTATTCCTTTATAGCTACACGGACGGTTTACACAGCGAGGTGGAGACTCAAGACGGGATGGAAATGAGAAGGTCGTTTGCATCAGGTGGAGAAGGCTCGAGAGGGTTCAACATTATGCAACATGCTGAGTGGCGATGCTCAGGCAAATAGTGCAGTCAGTGCTGTAACTTAATGCCARTGCAGCTAAACCACACCCAAAAACTTCACTTTACGCAGAGATGGGATACCTACACCCCTGAACAGCACAACCAGACCAGAGTACAGTTTCAATGTGAACAAAGACTTCAGAAAATATAAAAAAACTAAGCWAATTTTTGTGATAAAGTATATTATACATTCACACATAGATAGAAAAAAAAACGTTTCTTTTAGGGTTGTAACAAGGTTTAAGATACATTTTGTTTAAGAGCAGAGACCTGACTTGCCTCCTCATTGGGCGCCATCTCTCTGCTCCCCCGGGGCTCCGCCGTGTCGTCGCCCAGCGTCTTGTAGTAGTCCCCAGTGCTGGGCTGTTTGTTAAAACTCCTCGACTTCCTGTTTGAGTCCACGCGCCGCAGTTTCTCGTGGCTTTCTCCAGGGGTCAGCTGTTTGGAGATTACAAAAAAAAAAAAGAGAAATAAATATACTGTATATAATGAACCAATCAAAGTCAACTATAATAGAACTGCTTCCTGCCTTCTGTCACTTCTTGATGTTTGCTTCTAACATGCAGCAGAACACCGTGTACAACGTCTTTATTTGCTTTTATTGTTGGATTAGCTCTCTTGTGGGACCAAAGCAGCTTTATTTGAATAACAGAACAAAGCTCTGATTTATCTCACGTAAAACCCAGACATCTGCTGCAGGATTCGTCACACTCCAGCAGGTTTACGAGGAGTTTGTATGTACACGTAAAAATCTAAGCTTCCGGCAGAACAGGCGGATTTTTACACACCTACATGTCATCATGGTTTGTTCAACTGTGGTTCTTTGCGTTTACTTTTTTTTTATTCGTTCTCCATCGTTGTGAGATCTTTATCTCGAGCTCTGTTGCTTCTGTTTTCCTATCAGTTAAGAGTTTTAATAATGTGTTTTTGTGCTTTATTGTTAGATTTACTTTGGTATTCCTGCATCATCCTTGTGTCCGTGCACCATCGCTCATTTACCCTCCGTCAACCTCCTCAGAGTTTTTTCCCCCCAGTCTTCCTTCCACTTTCACCCGCTCTCAGTTATTAATAAACCCAGGCATCTCCACCTTACAATTACCTCCATTCAGTCTCTGTTTCACCGCCCACCAACAGTTCATTGTTTAAGCTCCCTGCCTCCCTTTGTGGTCCTTTGTGTTTTTCTTGAGTTTTGCAAGCTGTGCCGTGTCAGCTTTTTTTTTTCTGGTTTTTGTCAAAGTATTTTTAGTTTTCCATTTGAGTCTTTTTTGTAGTCTGTACTCTGGGTCCAACCCTCCACAGACACTGTTGGAGCAGACGTGGGTATGACTTTGCATATTTCAGTGCGCGTCTGACCTGGAAAACCTTACTTTTTATTTCGTCAAGTCATGAAATGCAATGCTGTTTCCTGTTTGTAAAAATACATTTCCTAGTGCAAAAACATCTTAAATTTGCATCCAACACATAATTTTATACGTCAGTTTTTTTATTTATTTATTTTTTCCTCAGAGTTGACGCATCCTGATTCCCATGGTTCCAAACACTTTGTCGAACTGGATGAACTTTWACAACACATTCCGGGGAACAGTCGCATTAAATAAATGTAAATCTTAAGGCTAAAAATTTTTTATTTTGCATTCCAAATCCAGAACTAAGCATGTAAAAAGTTAGCCTGCTGCACAAAATATAGACATCCAACCATAGCGAAATGATTGACAGCTGACCCTTGACCTTCCCTTCTCTGTGGTCTCATGTTCGGAGTTCCTACAAGCCTCTTTAATTGTGTTGACTCATGTTGGCTGTCAAAGAGATGGTCCCTGAACACTCATCAAGCGACAGGGTAATTTGAGTGGRGAGAGCTACAGATAAATTGTCGATCTCTGGGGAGGTGGGTCAACAATAGCAGTACAAAGCATTTCCCCCACTCTCTCTCACACACACATACACACATCCTTTCACTGAACAGACTGGTCTGTCAACATAAAGTAATAATTTCTACTGATGCGTTTCCAACTGCTCATACACTTTAGTGCTACAGTAACAATATCAAAAATTTGTTTAGCCTGTTTGTTGTTTGAAAAGGTTCAGCACATTTGCATGTGGTCCCACACAGGTCGGTGGTTTAAACCATTAGAAAATGTCGGCCGGAAACTTTAAAAAGTAAAAGCAACTTTAAAAACAAGTGAATCAAATCTACTCAGATTCATTTAAAAACAAATTTACCCCATCAGCTAAAAAAAAAATAGAAAAAGAAAATTAGCTGAAATATTTTAAACTTGCCATACCCACAACATCGACTAAATCAGCTTCGTGCTCATAAAATCAAGACTTTCCTAAATTCTTCTTACCTTTGATGTTAAAAATCCACTTTTACGGTTCTTTTTTTTTTTTTTTTTTTTGGACGGAGCTGAAAGAGTCCGGTGCAGGACAGAGAGTACCTTTCACCAAACGCAGAGCTTCGTCCTCCTTTCTGCTCAGAGCTACGCCTGTCACTCTACCTGCCCTCTCACTTTACCCGCAGGCCTCATCAATAACCTATTGGGCCAACACGGCAGCGGCAATGATGTCACTGCCATCCAGCAGACTGTAACCACTCCCCAACCCTGCTCAGCTGCATGTATGCAAAGCACAAGCGCCCATGTGTTCCTCTGAATATGAGCTCGCTGAGAACCAATCCTCCAGGTTTTAGGATTACTGGAATAGTCGAGCTTTTTGTCAGCAAAACCTCTTCAAGGCTAATTCTGGTTACAAGGAAAATGACAAAGTCCAAGCTTTCTGGGACTACTGCCCCTGTGAATTAAGTAAGGGAAAGTGGTCGTTGTTTGAACGCTCTAAAATAAACTACCTTAGACTGGACTCAAGCAAATGCAGACAAATGAGATGAGCCGAGCAGCAACAGCAGGAGCCTCTTAAAAAAACATCCGCGAAACACATGAGCCTGTGAAACGGCTCCATCTGATTGGCTGTAACTCTGCTATCTCAGGTAGATTGGTTTTCTCAGAGTATATGGCACACAGTGTTCCTGATTGCGTGTCTTTTTTTTGTGCACGTGTGTATACGTTGGCTCTGAGCGCTGACATTTATTTAATAATTAAAGGGAGCGCTGTGAGCGGATCAGCTGGAGATGCGGCAGAACCCAAACCTCTGAGGTTCGTGCTCGGACACAGAAACACAAACACAAAGAGTTCACTATGGAGACAGACCGGAGAGGAGACGCTTGTTAACTCACAGGCTGAGTTTATAGCTGCAGCGAACAGACTTTGCATACTGGACACATCGACTCAGCCATTGGCCGAACACGAACTTTTCCCGTGAATCAGCTGATTCTGCTGCTTTCTGACACAGGCAGCCTTTAACAGTACTAATCAGATGTAATCATTACTATTTAAATGGGGAGTTATTTTTATTTCGTAATATTTGGAAGTAAAATCAGCTTATTTTTTTGAGTTTTGTTACAGGTAATCAAACTGACTAATCAGACAGGTGTGTTAGGTATGTTATAATCACACTGGATGACATAGTAAGAGTCAGAATGTGCATTTTTCATGAGGTGAAAGTGAGCCTTAAGATTAGTTATTCTTGTAATTCCAGAGTTTCCGATCAACTCAATTACACCACAGTTAGAAAACTAGTTTCATAGTAAATAACAGTACTAATAAGTGTTGTTAGTAGGTTGATAAGTCTCATCAAATTTTAACCATTGTATGGTCGGTTTAGGTTTGAATGCTGGGGAGTCTCTGCTATGACCACAATGAATATTATCTCATATCTATAAAAAGATTGAGTAACTGAAACTTTCTGTTTTTAATTCAGTTACTCAGCGTTTACTCTGTGAAACAATTTGTTGTTGTTTTTTATTTTAACATTGACTATTACGTCACTTTTAACATCCACTAAACATGGTGGTGCAGGAGTCAGAGAATGAGAGTCTGTGATCAGAAGGTCGCCAGTTCAACTCCCCAGAAAAGTGAGTGCAAAACCTGTATGTGGGCCCTTGAGCAAGGCCTTCAAACAGCCGCTTCCCTGGCACCTTAGATGGCAGCCCACTGCTTCACATGTATGCTCACATGTGCAACGGGAAAAATGCTGAAGAGATTAAGAGTATATATTTACTCGTAAAAATGATTTGATGAATTTGCAAGTTATTCTGCCTCCTGTTTTGCACCATTTTATTATTTTTTATTTTTTAACAGGCAAATTGTTCTAATTGGATTTCTTTGTTGTTTAATCTTACACAGCTGTTAACACTAATGGACATCAGTTCTCATTCCAAGTCTTATGACGAATGAATGAAGGATTTCATCGCTGGGTGAAAGTCAAACAATTAACAGTTTATTGATTTTACCTGTAGCATTTATCCTCCATAAACAGATTGGCACTCTTACTACCTAAGTTACTCTTACTACCTAAGTTACTAACTAATGAACTCCCTTTTTCAAGCTTAATTTTGGAACAACTGAATATGGAATAAGGGAATGTCAGCAACACTCATGCTAAGCTACCAGATGTACCAACGCTAATATTAAAAGCCACTTTATGCTGYGCTGCTTGTCAGCTTGAAATCCTTCTGAGTGATCCATGGCCAGATTAATTAGTGGAATTAAAACCGAACCCATCACATTAATCACTGCATGTGTCAGCCCAAGGGTCTGCTGCACTAATGAGCATCTTCTGTGGCCTCGTTAGCCATGCTAACACAATAACATCTCTGTTGGCTCACAGAGAAGGTACACTGTTACTGAAGAGCTGTGGTCCAACTGATTGGACACACAAGGGGGGGAAAAAGCTAATGGCCAATTTATCCCAAAGTCCCTGTTCCTTCTGCTTCTGTACTCTCTGTACCTGGAACAGCTTCTTTACTGGATCAAGTAAGTCTGAATTAAACTTAACAAATGTTGCTGAATTTAGGAAGTAAGAAGTAATATTCTTCTATTGTACAGTTAAAAATACAGCTAACAATCAGAAAGAGCTGGATAAACTTACATTTCTTTAAATGCAGTGTTAGAACTTTTGGTAAAGTTAAGTTCGTAAAGCTAGAAAGAGCATTCTCTAAAACCTAAAAGAAACAGAACACCAGCTAAAAGCTAAGAGTAGCAAAACACAGGCTGAAGTTGCAATAAGGCCAAGTGAAATCTAAAAGCAGCAAAATAATAATGAGAAGCTAAAAGTAACAAAATTATTGCATTGTTAATAGCTAAAATGCTAGCTAAAAAGTAGAAAGAGGCTAGTTAAACATAGCAAAAATCCAGCTAAAAGTCAAACAAATCAAAGCTTAAAGCCCAAAGGCTAGCTAAAGGTAGCAGAAGGGTTGCCAAAAGCTAAAAGTAGCAGAAGATGACAAAAATGTAGCAAGTATGTTGAAAACAAAGAAAATGTTTTTGAAGGGATTTCAGATTTCAGTGTATTTCTTTGTAAAAATGTTTTATAATCAAAGTTAAAGACTTTAAAAAGTTTCTAAAACCAAAAGATCATCTCCTGAATGAGCTCGATGTTTTCACATATGAATGTTAAAATTACCCACAGTCTGCAGAGTAAGATTGCCAAATAAACATGAAAATAAAAAAAAATGCGAATGCTGAATCTGGATTCACACAAATGGTAAATGGACTGTACCTGTGTAGCACCTTTCTATCCAACCAGGATACTCAAAAGGCTTCACACTACAATCTGTGTCCTCATTTACCCATTCACACAGCACTCTATTAGGTCTCTACAAAGCAAACGTGTACAAATCAATCTATAGAGACTAATCAGTGCTAATCACATTCACACACTGATGGGACACACATCAGAGGTGTTGGGGRTGAAGTGTCATGTTTGCACAACGTCTACATATTTTAGTTTGATACCTCCTTTTTGCCGGTTTTCTTCTCCACGTGCCGCAGGTTGCTTTTCACCTTGAGGAACTCGGCTGAGGAAGGCTCCTGTGGGGGCGGTGGTGCCGGGTAGCTAGGCGGTGGAGGAAGTGCCGGTGGGGATTTGGGGGGAGGCGGAGGTGGATAGGTTGGCGGTGGCGGAGGCTTGGGGACAGTATCTGCAGGGGTCCCGTTCTTCTTGGCCGTGTCGGTGCCAATGTCCGGGTTCAGCATGTCCATGTAGGCTTGCATGTCTGAAAGAGCCGACTCTGGTGCACCTGAGGCACAAACACGCACCATGAGGAAGGAACTGGACTCATGACAAAAAGTGCTAGTTTTAAATAACAAGAAAAGCTTTTAATGTGACCTATTTTCTATTTCTTAGTACACCCTTTACTTATAAATGAGAAACATGACCGTGCACCTGCAAATATAGAGCACCAGTGTGACCACTAGGGTGCAGTATCAGTATACAAAGCACCTGTGACTGGACAAAATGAAACAAACTGTAAAGTTTGGTGTTTCAGCTTTAGTCATTCAACATTCTGATGATCAAAAAATACATTTTATATTTGTTTTGTTTAAAGAGTTGCAGACCTTGATGTGCAACTGTGTTCAGTTGAGTGGGTGGTCCTTGTGAAGTGGTTAAACTGCTCCTCTTTTCCCCGGTGCTGGACTGGCTGGAGTTGGCGGAGTCGTAGTTGGACAAGGAGCTGGACGGTGAACCGATGTCAAAGTGGACGGCCTGGCTGGAAGGAGGCATGGTGGTGTTTGGGGACGAGAGACCCGAGTCTGGCTGCTTGAACTCTAGGTCCGTCGAGGGGTCTCGAGACAAAACGCGGTGCTCCACACTCTGTCGGGGGGAGGGGGGCAGTATGTGAATACAGGTCCCAGGTAATATCAGTTTACACACCCGGTGACCTCTCAGTCCCAGGTGTCTTGCAGGAGAAAAGTGTTATGAACTTAATTACTGCACAGTAATGAAACTTCTCACAGCTGATCAGAGGGACTCTGAGGAGTTGTACATTTCCCACAGCGCAGTACCCATGAGGCCATGTGCATCTCATGAGAAGGAAAGAGAATCTGTTTCTCAGCACCAGTCGACATTTAATTATTACATGTAAGCTGAAATATCTACAGTGACATGCAAACACGGGAAYGTTAAAAAAAGTTAGCTAAGGTCAGAGTTCAGGATTCCTGGCAGTGAGACTTCTTGTTGACTGGTCTTACCATGTTCTCCACTGTGCGCAGATACTTGGCACACTGCGGGTGGCCGTTGTATTCAGCCAGATCTGCTGACGTGAAGCCGTCCTGGTCCCTGATACCCAGGTCCACCCCGTTCACTACAAGGATCTGACAGCACTGAAGAGCAGACAGAACAGGATCTGTCAGTCAGGAGCATTAATATTGAACAAATCCTCACAATTATTCCACAATTCATTGATTTACTCTGAAACTACTGAAGTATATGTGCTGGTTTTACCTGATGTTTTGTTATTTTAACAGTTTAATCAAGAATAAAGTGTAAATAATACTTCATCATTTTCATTTTGTTTAAAAAGGGAAATCATGTCCAATACAGTTGAGCACTTTTGTAACATTTGCTTCTATAAAACCAGAGAAGTTCAAGTTACATTTACAACTACCTTATAAATTATAGAGATGAAAATTAAATATAAATTTTATTCAATAACTCAATGAGAC